CAGCCCGGCGGTGCTGCGGGAGGCGGTGGAGGCCGTGGTGAGGAGCTTCGCCAAGCACACGCAGGGCTACGGCCGAGGTGAGTCCGGGGGGCTGGCCCGGGCGGGACCCCCTCCTGCCGGGGAGCCTCGCCCCCACCGCGCTCGGGATCGCTTTTCCGGGCGCACAGCCCTCGCTCCCCTGCATTTCCTTTTGGGGAGTTTCCTTCTGGGCTGCACAGACGCGCGCGCGCACGCACCGACGCACACTCACCCTCGCGTTGAAGCCTCCCACCCGCCCCCCTACCGCGTTACTACTCTTTTCTCCAGGGACCCCTTTTCACACGTACCCTTCTTTCGACCCAGCCTCTTCTTCGGGCCGGGAAGTTCTGCAGCTCCCTGCCTTCGCCTCCGCGCGTCGGAGGACGCGTCCCCATTGTGTGGGACCCTACCCGCAGCTCGAGTCCAAGACCTTTCTCCTCCGCGCTCTGGCAGCCTTTCCTCTGCGGCCCTGGCAACGCCTGGGCCCTCGTTAATTTACTCCTTTTTCACTTTGCCGTTTGCCTTGTTCCATAATCGAACACTGAAAAATTTCAGTCCAGCATCAGATTCGCTGGGGAGTCAGGTCGTGCCTTCACGAATCAGAATTAGCGGGCTGTTAAACCCTGACCCCTACCAGCTGAGCACACACCAGCTTTCTGGGACGTCTGCCTCCCTGTGGGGTCTGCCTTAGGATGGAGCCTCGGCACTCAGGCCTCTCAGGCGGGCCTGCTCTGTTTCCCCGGCCCTTGCCAGGAACGGCGGATAAATCCCAGGCTTGGCTCTCCGCGTTCAATTATGTGGACATGAGCCAGGCAGAGCCCTACTTCCATTAGAAAACTTTATCTTAAAAATGCCTAATTTCCAGGATTTCTGCGAAGGGGGATGTGAGGACTTTCTTTGTTTCGTTCAGCCAGAGGTTTCCGAGCCTAAGCTCCAGATTTATAGTGTAAGAAGGAATGTGTGATATATGGCAGGGTGTGGTAGTTTCCTTTGTATTGAGCCATTTAATTAATTTGAGGCAATGTTGGTTCAAGGCATGGTGCATTTTGGGGAGGAACAGGTTCACACCTCCTCAGATGTGCACGTCGTCCCACTCACAGTCCAGAATTTCTGAGACACCAGTTCTCACTGCTTGGTCAGGATCTGCTTGGAGGTTACAGTTTCCGGCTTAACAGTAATCGAAATTCATAGAGGTTTCTCTATACACAGTAATGACCCCCACCCTACCCCCCTGATAAAAATGCAGTGGAAAGAGTACACACCAGCTTTGGAGTTAGAAGTCTGGACTAAATTCCAGAATAAATCTCTGCCACTTGCCTGTCTCTGGGGCAGGGGCTTCACCTGAGTGAGTGTCAGTTTCCTTACAGGCTGTGATTTGGGTTAAATGACATTGTGCCTGACACATAATAGGTACTTGAAAACTGATGAGTGTTGCCTCAAACGTATTGGCTCCTGTTTCCTTGGGGGAAGCATGCTTCATATCCTCCAACTCTTAAATCCTGATGGTATTAACCCAAAGATGCCTGTGACCACAGACTTTGCCTGTCCCTTTGGTATATGTGCCCAACCTTACACTTCCACCAGGTTTCTTTTGTTCAGCTCTCTGAACTGACCCCACGGGAGAGCTGTTCTTCTGGGCACTGGAAATCCAAACGCAGATGACTCAGATCATGCAGAAACAGAGTTGTTTTTCTAGCTTAATTCCTAGACCTGCCAGGCTTCATGACAGGGTGTCCATGACCGCAGTGCTTCCGGTTTGCTAACACTGAGACCAAGGGAGGCCTTTGCCTTGAGCTGTTGGAGCAGCCAAGAGTGAGCACCCTAAATCTGAGCCTCCGCCTTAGAAACTCATAGGCGTTTATGAAAATCGTAGAGGAATGGCTCCTTTCACTTGTCTGTGTCACCGGAGCGCCTCTGGGTTGGCTTCTAAGCTGAGCCTTATATTGAACCCTCACGGAGGATGTGAACTAAAGCTGATTCAGAAAGGCCCTGCTGAGTCTGGGGCTGGTCAGGAAGAAGACCAGCCCTCCTTCCATAAAAACTCTCATTTCCATAAAAAGGATGTAGGAACAAGGGCTTGGGACTGACAAAGTTAGTAGGGCTTTGGGTCTGCAGTGATTTCCCCTCAGCCTCCCTGCCTCCCACCACCGTCCTCTGTATTCTTGAGTTTCTCATTTCCAGTCTGGGTGTCCAGCCAGTACTTTGGGAAGTCTGGCAGATAGTTCAGTTTCAGGCGAGCGGAATCTCTGTTGATTTGGCTCAGAAGTCTTTTACCACATGGAATCACTTATTCTGCTTCGATTAATGGGCAAAGCTGCCACTGGCATGCACCCACACATCCTTGTGACTGATGGCATGGTGCTTGGAGCTGGCTCCATTCCCCTGAAGAGAATTTACGCCGGTCTTCTTCCTGACCAGCCCCAGACTCAGCAGGGCCTTTCTGAATCAGCTTTAGTTCACATCCTCCGTGAGGGTTCAAATTCACCTTTTCCAGTCACAGCCCCTAGCTATACCTTCCTTCATGTACAATTTGAACTTTTATACAAAATAACATATTTCACCCACTTGTCCCATTTCTCCTCCCTCCCTCCCCAAGACACACATATAACTCAGTAGGCTGTGGGATCTTAGTTTATAGCACATGGGATGTGGAGCCAGAGAACTTGGCCCTATCAAATCGTGGCTCCGTGATCCTGGATTGATTGCTTCATCTCTCTAGGCTTCATCTGTTCTATTGGTTCAGTTAACAGGTAGTTACTGATCGCCAGATGCAGTGGTGAGCAAGGCAGCTCCGCATTCCCTGCCTTCAGGGAGCTCACGGCCCAGCTGACAGAGAATGTGTGAGGACTGATGGTCAGTCAGCACAGCGGCCGCCGGGCCATGGAAGGAGGGCTGGCCTTGGAGGCTGGTTCTGTCTCTGCGGCCGTACCTTGCTTCGTTCACTTTTTTTTTTTT